ATGGGAGATACAGAAATAAAAGAGACAGACCCCAGCCTTCTCAGCCTCTTGAGCAAGTGAGTTCCAGGTGGTAGGACAGCTCTGTGAAACCTTTGAGAAAGGCCTCCTTGGCAGTTTGAGCCAGCCAAGTCCCTATGTTGTCCACCTGGCAAACTCCTACTCATCCTTCAAAACCCAGCTCAAACAACATCTGCCCTGGGAAGAAGGCTTTCGCAGAAAATATCATACAAGTAGAGTTACCTCTTGTCCGTGTTCTCTGCATGTGACACAGCACAGGAGCTGAGCTGGGGAAGTGGTTGACCGGCAAACAGAAAACATGTGTCCATTTGTACACCTGTTTCTCAGCTCCTCAAGGTTTGGGGTTCATGTCTCAATTAACTCCAATCTTCAGAATCCAGCCTAGTGCTTGGTGCCTAGTAGATACTTATTGAATGCCAACTGGGAATGTTCAAACCGTCTGAGGCATGTAGTATAGAATAAGTTCTGCATCATCCTGGGATCATAGGAACGCCTAGACCAAGGCCCCTCTTGTGCAGATGGAGAAATTAAAGCCCAGACAGGGGAAGAGACTTGCTCAAAGGCACACTAGTAGGAGCCTGCAATGAATACATAGTTCTCTGAGATGCCCTCGTTCCTCCGCCTGAGTCTCAGATAGGTGTGGAAGAACCCCCTGAATGAGAACAGACAATAGGCAATGAACATGTTACCATCAGTTGTAAGTTTCCAACACGGAAAGTGACAGTCAAATGCCTTTCCACAATGTTTAGAATCTTCTTCCCTTCTTAGAAAGGTGAGGGGAGGTGGATGCCCAGCCCAGTTTAAGTGAATGGGTTTCTGCTTTCAGACTACAGAACCTTGGACAAATTACTTAACCTTCCTGAACCTGTTTTCTCAACTGTAAAATGGGAATGCTAATACCTACCTCAGGATTGTTAGAAGAGTTAACACACAAAGTGCCAGGCACAGAGTAGACTCTCAGTAAATGCAATCCTGCCCTTCTTAGGAGGGTATTCTCTCCTGCACTTGGTGTAGATGTGAAAACAACGGTGTTAGTTATGATGTTTCCTTTTGTGCATATTTGAAAAGCCAACCTGGTCCAGCAGGTGGCAAACTCTTAATTAGACAAAAGGCAGATTTGGGACATGACATAAAATGCATCTCGTTTCTGTTCAGGCCCTCAGGTCTCTGCAGGTGACTTGGGGAGAACCTGGCTCTCCGCACCTCCCCCCCCCCCCCCCAGGTAGGATCCCGCTGCCCCACTCTCTTTTGCTGCTTCTTTACCAAGGCCTGCTCTGCCCTTGTGTCCTTCAAGATTTAGCTCCTGCTGGGGACGTGACTGGGACCGAGGGAGCCACCCAGAAGCATGGAGACTGTGGTGATTGTCGCCATAGGTGTGCTGGCCACCATCTTCCTGGCCTCATTTGCAGCCTTGGTGGTGGTTTGCAGGCAGCGTTACTGCCGGCCTCGAGACCTGTTGCAGCGCTATGATTCCAAGTAAGTGGGCCCGGGGAGGGGAAGGGAGGAGAGGTGGGTCCTGCCAGGGGCTCCAACAGCAGAAAAAAAAGAGAGGAGCCCAAGGAGTTTGGTGGTGGACAACTCTAGCTCAGCTTTTTGTCTCTAAAATGGTACCCGAAGGCTCCCTTTCCAAGAAAGACCTCGGAGCTTAGCAATGTCCTGAGCCTTCTCTGACTCTGTCACTGAGTTAAGGAGAAATTGACCGAACGGGCTCACCTACCACAAAGGTGCGGCCATCTATCCAGAAAGTGGCCACTTCCCTTAGCATTTGAATACATCCAGCTTCTTTCCAGCCAAACTCGTAGGAACGGAGATCCCAGGCCTGCATTCCAGCCACACATGGAAGCAGCAGATACTGGGTTGTGTGAAATCCCAGCAGAGGACTGTCTCCCTCTTTGCACGGATTTCTTCTTGATGTGTTTTATGTGCAATCTATTTTGTGAGCATGATCTAGTTTTCCGTTTAGGGGTGTTTTAACGGATCGACCCTTGAGGGACCGTGGCAGGCCACCCTTAGTTTCTCTTATCCCTCTGTCTGAATCCTATCAGCATCTCTGTTAAGAGGTAGATAATTTGTAAATGCCCGTTTATATGACCCAGGAAAGTTCTGCTATTCAACGGAATTCTCTGGCATCCCCTGTTGTAAAGTCAGTGTTGTGATCCCTCCCACTTCTCCAGTAGAACGAGGAGCGGGTAGGACCAAAGTCCTTCCCGACAGTAATTCTGCAGACCAGGTAGGTTTGGGTAATAGGAACTTCGGCTTCTCTGGAAAAGGTAGGCTTGAAGGAAAAATGGGTTTAAGAAGGCTGTTATTTTGTGCTGAAGGAGCAGCCCTGTCTGATACATCTCTGCCTCCTATGGCTGTGGCCCTGCCCTTTCTCTTAGTGGCTCATTTCATTCTGCTTCAGCTGTCCTTAGTGCCCTGCCTGCCTCTGTGACCCATGTCTAGCCACGTGCCCCACCCGCACCTGCGGTCCCACTAAGGTTAAATGTGGCTCCAGGACAAGGGGTCACTGCTTTAACTTGCTAACTTTTTACATCCTGTTGGGGGATATGTGGGCGTCGGTGAGGAGAGGGTCGGCGACGGTCACCCATCGCGAAACCACTCACCTGGGCATTTCCTTCCAGGCCCATTGTGGACCTCATCGGTGCCATGGAGACCCAGTCGGAGCCGTCTGAGTTGGAACTGGACGATGTGGTCATCACCAACCCCCACATCGAGGCCATTCTGGAGAACGAAGACTGGATCGAAGATGCCTCGTAAGGCCTTGGGGACCGCGGACCGCGTACTTCCTTCAGTCCCCTGGAGATGGCACATGGGCCTCTGGGTGCCCTTTTCTAGGTTCCTTTGCCACAGCACTTGACCAGGCATCCGGGAGCACTGAGTCACTTACAGCTCTTTCCCGGCCCTCAGCATCGGGGGGTAGAGAATCAGATTGTTATGACAGTGTTTGTCCTTCCTCCCCCCATTCTGTAGATCTAAACACTGAGGCCCATAGACGTGTGGCAGAGGTTGTTACAGAGTCACCTTGATGTGCTTGGGTTATCCTTAGGGGGCCTGTGAATTTGACACCCAGGCTCCAGGGATGCAGCCTTTGTCTCCAGGATCCCTCAGGGATCTCTCCATCCGGCAGGAGCCTCTACATGTTGAGAAGTGTGTGCCATTCTGTGCCATTGTCATTCACCAGCAGACGTGTGGGGGGACATTGCATGTAGGACACTGGGCCAGTTAGTGCAGCTGTTAGGAATTCTACGAAATACGCTATCTCCGAAACGTTAGTGGGTCTCTGCACAGCGCCGTGGGCACACACAGGAGGCGATGTCTAGAGTTGCCTGGGGTGGGGAGGTGGAGGTGGCTTTCGTGAAGGCTGTCCCGGAGTGAGTGCCTTTTGACCTGGGCCTTGAAAGATGAGGTGCTCAAGAGGCTGATAATAAGGGGAAAGTCACACGGGGTGGTAGGAACAGTGTCAGAAGCTCAGAACTCTCAGAAAGCATGCCTTTGAGAGGTGAGTGCTGCCTGGGAGAGCGGGCTGGATACGGGAGGGGAAGGGAAAGGAAAGAAGGTTCCTCCTCATTTAGCTGGTGGACCTGTTCAGTTTAACCCTGAGGCAGTCCTGCTCTCGGTGGTGTCCCGGTGGGTCAGAGCTACATGAGGAGCCGAGCTGGTGGCCGGAGCCAGGTGGGCCTGCAAAGAGGAGCCCTGACAGATTCTTCTTGTCTCCCCAGGGGTCTCATGTCCCACTGCATTGCCATCTTGAAGGTAATACTTTTGGATTTCCCATGAGATAAGGGGGTGGAGGGGCTCACCAAATCACCCCTGTGCCCACACTCTTTTTTTTTTTTTTTTTTTTTAACATTTATTTGTTTTTTTTGAGAGACAGAGAGAGGGCGGGGCAGGGGCAGACAGGGAGAGGGAGACGCAGAATCAGAAGCAGGCTCCAGGCCCCGAGCTGTCAGCACAGAGCCTGATGTGGGGCTCAAACTCACAAACTGTGAGATCATGACCTGAGCCGAAGTCAGATGCTCAACCGATTGAGCCACCCAGGGGCCTCTGTGCCCAGACTCTTGAAGGGCATCTTAGGAAGGGCCCTGAACCCGTGCAAGAAGGTTTTTAAACATGCCTGACGCTTGGGATTTCTGCCGTTTCCACTTCCTCCTGGGTGGTCTGTTATACGCGAGCATTCTCAAGACCCTTTAAAGGTTTTATTTCACCTGGTCCTGCTAATACAGTGGCCTGTGAGAAAGGCCACATACGTGGTCACTGGCCACATTTTCACCAATTGGGGAAGGCAGTGTGCCCGAGTGTGTGTAGCTGCTAAGGGGGAGTGGGCTCCCCAGCTTCTCTCTGGGCACTTTCCTTCATTAACAGAGAGCTCAGCCCTTTGCTCAGTGAGTTGAGTTCTGTATCTGGACTTCCCCAGTTACTAGAAAGTCCTTCATTGGCCCTCTCTGGCTAGGACGGTAGTCAGCCACATGGGACGGTCGGTGGTGTTGAAAAATCCAAACCATGAGTATTGTACTTGAAGGCAGATTTTTTTCTTCTAATTCCTGCAGCCTCCATGATTGGGTGGAAAATTGCATCCAGTTTGTGTTTTGGCTAGTTTTTATAGTTTGGGGTAATTTTTATATTGTTAGCATTTTTTTTTTAATGATTGTCTTGTCTCCTACAGTTTTTAAAAAAAATTTTTTTTAACATTTATTTATTATTGAGAGACAGAGAGAGACAGACATGAGCATGGGAGGGGCTAAGAGATGGGGAGACACAGAATCCTAAGCAGACTCCAGGTTCTGAGCTGTCAGCACAGAGCCTGACGTGGGGCTCGAACTCACAAACCGAGAGATCGTGACCTGAGCCGAGACCAAGAGTCAGACTCTTAACGGGCTGCGCCACTCAGGTGCCCCAGCATTTGGTTTTTTAATCCTTGTGTGATAAGAATAATATTGAAATATTTGGTCAGTTGCAGATATTGGCAGTTTCTTCATCGCGTAACCTGGGAAACTACAACCTTTATCTTTTTGTCCAGTAATTATTCAAGATTTCAGAAACAGCCCATGTTTTCTCCGGTGTCATTCAGTACACATAGGATGATGTCTTTCGTCCCACGTCTCCTGTAGCTGTCTCTATTGGGGGACAAAGGAGTGTCTACTAGGAAATTGTCCTAGGGTCCAGGATTATTTAATTCCAAGACGCTCTTTGGGTGTAGATATGGTTACAGACAGGTCTAATGACTAGAGCAATTATACCATATTCATTTCCCATCTCCCAGCTAGCATGTGTCCTGGTACCAGGTTTTGTCCCCGTCCCTGCCTATGACACCTGAGTTGGGGAATAAGTCAGCAGCAGGAAGGAGTCTTACTGGATTGGAATCAATGGTCCAGCCTGAGATTCCCAGATCCAAGGAGAGGGGAGAGGCCCTGGGGTCTGAAGGCCCTTTTGGTTGGCCACCTGCCCTTGAGTCCCTGTGGTGGGGACTTGCAGGAGGGGCCTAGGCTCTCTCCTGGGTGAGCTCTTGGCCTTCTTTCTACCCTCTTTTCCAACCCCAAGTAGGCGGCAGGTAATGGCACTTACTTGCCAGGGACAGAAAGAAGCACATCCAGGTTCTAACATCAGGGAGGTGTGGAAGTGGGGAACCAAGCTTTTGGGGGTGGCCAGCACTGTTGATGGATGAGAAAGGCCTCAGGCGGTAGTCATGCCTTTTTCCTGCTTTTTCTGAAGACTCATTCACCATGGCCGTGTTGACAAACGTGGTGTCACCCCAGATAATTGTTGAACTAAGTGCTGCTTTTGGAGGATATGCTTCAAGGGGACAGTTGTCCTTTGTCCAGCTGTGTTCCTGAGGGTGCCCCACTGGGGAGATCTAGCCTTCTGGAAGACTAAACCATGAGGTGAAAGAATAGAAAGAGAAAGTAGGTTTTTCCCCCTAAACGACAAGGCGAAATTAGAGCACATGATTTTTCTTAGACAGATTAATTCAGCTTAGACTTCTCTAAGCCGAAACCGTGACCCTGATCTCAGCTTCCCACCCCTCCCTCCTCGCTGGACGGCACCCTTGGCTTTTGCCGCTTCCATCCCATTTCTCTCGTCTGTGTGCTTTTCACTCAGTTTGCCCACTAGGTTAGGGGTCCCTGGTGTGGGATGGAACCCAAGGCAGGGGCCATATTTGTTTGTGGGGGCAGCAGAAACTCTTGGGGGAGCTGGAGTGCCCCCCCCAGTCACCCCTCCCCTCCCTGCTGTGTTAGATTTGTCACACTCTGACAGAAAAACTTGTTGCCATGACAATGGGCTCCGGGGCCAAGATGAAGACCTCAGCCAGTGTCAGTGACATCATCGTGGTGGCCAAGCGGATCAGCCCCAGGTGAGCTGGTGGGCCTTGAGGTCCCCACCCTCTGCGGGGAGTGGGGGGACGGGGAGGAGGGAGGGACCGGAAGCTGAGGTGGCAGGCGGGCCAGGCTCCTCGAGGAAACTACATAGGTCACTTCAGTTACAGGCATCCCAGACATTTACAGAGCATCCAGGAAGGTTTAGATTCTCAGAGACCAAGCCAGGGTTTAGATACTTGTCTCACACAGTGCCCCCCGCCTCCCACGGGCCTCCTCCTCTGGTTGGCTTTTTGGGGAATTCTAGCATGTGACTAGGGCCGACTCTTCTAGTCCATTCTGCAGATCCCACTGTGTCTGCTGCCTCTCCCTCAGCCCCACACCAGCTGGGGCTGCCTGCCTTCCCTTCTTCCCAGGCTCTGGGCCAGGAAGCACATTTCCCGCCGGTGTCCACACCCTCGTGCAGTGACCATGCCCCACCCTGCCCTATCTGTACTGGAGACCAGTTTCAGGGACCTGCTCCTTGCCACTTCCCTGTCAACCACTGGCCCGGCCAGGGCCCAGCCAGCAGCCTCCAGGACTGGGTGTGGGGACGGGGGGAAGAGAAGCCATACCTCATTCAGATCTCCCAAATGCCAGGCTGCCTGCAAAACCCCACGTGGGAGGCAACCGGCAGGACTGTAGTCAACAACTACACCCCCTCGTTTGGGCTTGACTTTGTCAAGTATAAAGCCCTTTTCTTAGGGAGAAGGGTGGTACTGGGTTTGTGCTGCCATCTGGTGGCTGGTATGTGGATGTGCCTGAGTCGGGAGTTGGCCAGGTCCAGGATGTTTTCTCAATCAGCCAAGCAGCCTTACTGCCGGGACAGTGCCTCCACGTCCCCGGTTGGAATGGTGGCACTCCCTGTGAATTCCAGGGACTCTCGGTTTCCTGGTTGCCATGGCCTCGGCTAGATCACGAGGAACCAGCCCTCTGAAGGAATAAGAGAGTTGGAGCACTTGAACTCTGTCCAGGGCGTTCAGTGAGTTGAGAAAGTAGGAAGGAGAAAATCCCAGGGAGGGACTCAGCTCAGAAGAGTTCTTGGCTTTTCTGAACTGGAGCTGTCCCGGGTGGGTGTAGCTGTGGGACTTGTACCAGCCTGGCCAGAAGGCCCTGCAGCCGAGGCCCTGGGCAAGCACCAGGCATTCCTCTGGCCACCCCTTCTTAGTAGAGACTCTGCACTGCTCCTGTCTGCTGGACCTTCATCTTGCTTCCAGTCACTGCAAGAGCCACCCCTGGGGTCTGCGCAGTTCCTGTGATACCTGGTTGTCACGAGGAGGCATTGCCGGGAGCGGTGGGAGGAGGAAAGAGATGGAGATTTCTGGGGAGGAAGGAAGTCCCTGGGGCTGGGGATTAGCCCTGTTTCGACAGGGGGTGTGTGTGGCATTGCTCAGAGAGTGGACCTAACCTGGTGCACACTGGCCTGTCCTACTGAGCCCCTTGGGCTGCTTCCAGAATGTTCCCTGCCATAATTCAGTCAGTGCCCTTGCTTTATCTTTTTGCCTTTAACACTTCTTTCTTCATCTGGCCTTTTTTTGTCCCTGTTGATTTTCTTGCTCCATTTATTCCACATAAGTGTGTTGATAGCGTATTAGTTTCAAGGCGAGTGGCCTCAGCTCCAGGGCCCTACAGAGAAAGGGGCTGGCGAAGACGGCCGCTGATGTTCTTTGCGTTTCCTCACCAGCCCCTCAGCCCCGAGACAAGAACATTGGAGGGCATCTACCTATTTTCAAGTGCTTTTCAAAATCAAACAATGTATCATTATTTTTTCTTCCTGACTACCACGCAGTCCAGGAGCGAGGATTTGGATGAAAATCTTGAACCGTGCAAATCAGAATGAATAGCAGCTCCTTTCTGAACTTGATTTAAAAAAAAAAAAATTAACGATGAATTGTACCGTATGTAAAGGAAATCCACTGGAGCAGTTTGGACCCAAATTAAACTTGTAGGCTTTGTGTGTGTGTGTGTGTGTGTGTGTGTGTGTGTGTTCTATATAACTATATTTAACCTTTTTTAAAACACACGATAGTAGTAAATACTTAACGGAAGTCAAAATGCAGAAATAGATTGGAAAGTGAGGGAACCCCAACTTACACCGCACCCCAATCCCTGGCAGTAACACGATTGAATGCTGGGTATTCCTCCACACTGCTCAGCGGCTGCACTTCATAGCTTTTGTTTATTTACTTTCATGCCAGCGGATCCATCAAACTTTAGATGTCGTTTGGCAGTTTGCCCTCTTAATTTAGTAGCGTATCTTGAACATCATTCCAGAAGGGCGAGCTTAACACTTTTTAAAAACTATCGGGACTGAAACAAAACCCAAAAACAAAATACTCCCCAAATCGAGTATTCCTGTTCAAGTCTGTCTGAGAAGGCAAAAGCAGTTGGAGAAAAGAATCACTAAAGATTGGGGCTCTTCAGTATCAGAAGAGAAGATCGGGACAAAGAAAGGTAGAAATGGAGGAAGAACAGAAAAGGACACCAGGGAAGTGAACTACTGAAATCCTTTTGCCTCCCCACAGAGTGGACGATGTGGTGAAATCGATGTACCCTCCGTTGGACCCCAAACTCCTGGATGCGCGGTGAGGAGGGGGGGAGGGTCATTCGGTTTCTCACGCGAGAAGCTCACTGTTTTTATCACATCTGTGAGGTCCTCTGTCTGGGTTGTGGAGAAGGCTGCTGTATTGGGTTCCCAGGGCTGCAGGCCCCATTCATTTGAGTGTGAATGGTGATAGAGGCCCGAGCTCTTCCTGAAGCCTGGGATTAGGGGGAGCCAGTCTTAGACTTTGAATTTTTAGGATTAAACGTCTGGCCACGGTAAATCCTACCTGCACCTTCACTCCCTCCCCTTTCCCCCATCTGCCTCCGCACCCCCCAAAAAGCAGACACGCCCTAGCTGTGAGTGCTGCCCAGGGGGTGGGTGGGTGGGGCAGGTGGTAAGCAGGGCAAAGGATGGAAGGGACAGCTGGGCTCAAGCTGTGCTCACGTTCTGCAGGACGTACCCAAGACCCCCGCTTGTGATCCTCCCGTAGTACACTGAGTATACATTGGCTTTTGACGTTATACTCCTCTACCAGATGCAAACTCATTAGAACAAGCAGATTCTTTTGTCTCTTGGATTTACATGAGCATTTCATAGATCTGCTGTGTGATGATTGCCAGACTGCAGTGATTACAGTGGCTCCCAGGGCTTCAGTTGGTTTTTCTGCCCTGCTCCCATGCTCCGCCCCGCTGTGTCTACGGGCTCAGAATCTGATACAGTCCCACCTGCATCATATACACTCACTCCATCAAAGATATTCTACAGTGAATCTTTCAATACTGGGAAAGAAAACACTCCTCCTCAGTTTGGTTTTCAATTAAATTTTGTTTTTAGAGTGGTCTAAACCAGCTCGGGGCCTTATTGATTCAAAATCAATAAGGGATGCCCCAGGCAGGGGTACGTCTTTCATGTTTTTAAGTGGGCAACAGTTGGGGATGCGCTCATCCAATGGACTAGATCTGAATAGTCCTACAGAACACTCTTCTGGGAGATGTTAATAGGTGTGCTGCAGAAAACAGTCTCCACAGTCTTAAATGAGTTAGTGAGCCACAGCACATTGTATTCTGTCCTTATAGCTTTATCACGCATGTTACAGGCTCAGAGAAGGCTTCAGTTAATGTTGTTTAACCCAGCCATGCCCAAATTTATTGGAGTGTGGAGCCATCTTTAAATCACCAACCTCCCGGGGAAGGGCCTCCAGTTTGGAGAACACCAGACCAGAGTCTGTCCATGTGGGCTTTGGTGCACAATCCCTCATTCCCTAGGGACACTGATCCTGCTGCCTTTTCTAGGACTACTGCCCTGCTCCTGTCTGTCAGTCATCTGGTGCTGGTGACCAGGAATGCCTGCCACCTGACCGGGGGCCTGGACTGGATCGACCAGTCACTGTCTGCTGCAGAGGAACACCTGGAAGTCCTTCGAGAAGCAGCCTTGGCTTCTGAGACAGATAAAGGCCTCCCAGGCCCTGAAGGATTCCTGCAGGAGCAGTCAGCCATTTAGTGCCTGCTGGCCAGCCTGCCGCCGTCCCTGGGTGGCTCAGTGGACCTTCCGCTTCTCCCCGTAGTGTGAGTTCTCAGGGGTTCAGCTGTACGTGCCGAGCTGATGCCTCTGCTGCAGTAGCAAATGCTGACTGGCGAGTGGCAGTCTAACACCGCAGTTCCAGGAGACGGCTTGCACCGTCTGCACAGCAGAGCCTTAGAGACTGGTAGACCAGCAGCTTTATTTAGCCCACCTAGTGTTTTCAAGAAAATTGAACCACCATCTAGAAATCACAGGGTTTCGCCCTGAAATCAGAGTTTCTGGCTTCTCTTAAACAATCCGAAGATAAGGCAACTCTGAAATGCATCTGCAGAAGACAATCATCTTGAACTCAGTGGGAGTTGTGTCTTTTGACAGGGCTTGTACTCGCTCTCTCTCTCTCACTCGCCTGGTCTGTTTCATTTGTATTATCTGCCCTGTCCCTGGGGCATCTGAGTCCCTCTTCCCCTTCCCAGGTTTGCCTTTGAAAGTGAACAACGAGTTGATTTTTCCTTGTCATTGGGCCTGCAATTTTACCTACCTACCACTAGGAGGACAGTACACTTACACTTAGACTTCTGTCAAGCGAGTGGTTATTGACTCATTTGAACCTATGGGGTGCAGTGCGATGTATTTGAGAAGTCAGGGTGGGAGAAGGGAGCCTGAGAGTCCTGAGGACACATTGTGCATATCACCCAAAAAGAGGTATTTCAAGACCCTTCAGAGTTTAGGCGGAAGTGAAGATCCCACCATAAAGTAGTTTCCACATGAGCAATGATATCCGTGAAGGTTGTATTCCCCCTTTCTTTTGGTTTCTGTTTGTTTTTGCAAATATTGAAAGACGAGGGGCATTTTTATGACATGAGACCTTTGTGGGACCCAGAATCCCAATCATATAGTCCAGACATACATCCGAGTTGCTTAATTGCCATCATAAGCATATAGGAGAGCCGGAAGTACTTTGCTTCTCCCAGGATCTCAGAGCCAATGTTTCTCTTGGGAGACAGGGCTCTGGCTTGGGAGCTGCCTTGGTTCATATGCTGTGCTGTTTGGCATGTTTGGATCTCCGAGTCTGGTCCCATTTCATTTTCTGTGTGCTAACTCGTCAGCAGATGCCTCTGTCTGGTTCTAGAGAACCAGGAGCCCATATTTCCAAGATCAAGATTGGAGCCTTGTTTGTCACTGAAATGTCCCATTGGGCACAGTCCATTTTCTCCTGGAAAGCAGGATGCTTCTGTGTACGGGTTCCCACCTGGGAAATGGAGTCAGGAGAGGAAAGCTTGGGTCAGCTTGCTGTGGACTGATGATGGATTCCTGACTGCAGGGCCACCTTATTGGATTGTCCATTCCCATCAGCTCTGAACACATGCTAAGTAGCTAACTTGTCCTGCTGGTAGGGTGTGAATGGGGAACTTCCTCAAGGCCACTTTGAATTTTCCATGTCATGGCCTCCACAAACAGACATCCACAGTCCTCCTATTGTTTATTTTCCCTTCCTTTCAAAAACCTACATTCACAATGAGATTGGAAACCACTTTCTGCTAAGGGGTTGCAATGGCTGCCACAGGTATAAATGTCCCTGCCTTTGAACCTGGGTCAGAGCCCTAAGCCAAAGAGGGACAGCCCCAAATTGGCATCTCAAATACCACCCAGCAGGCGTGGGGGCGGGGGGTGGAGGTGAAGTTTCCCAGCATCCCTGAAGCAACGCCCGCTGTCGCCAACCTTCTGTGAGCCCTGGCCAGTCCTGGCGCCTCCCTGAATCCCTGGGTCGCTGCAAGGAGAGGTTGCTGAACGCCTGGGAAGTGTCTGTTGGACTGCAAGATCTCTGATCTGGCCACTGCGTGGTTTCTCTTTTGTCTCCAATGAAGGACAAATAAGTCTCTGGATAAGGTGGGTGTTGATTGAGGTGAAAGCACCATCTGGGGGAGGAGGCCTCCCTGCTCCTCTTGGCCCTTTGCGAGTTGGCCGAAGTTACCTTCTCTGAGAGGGCCAGGTTGGTGAGCACGGGGCACCCAGCCTGGTGTGGTTTCCCAGGGGATGGACGCGTCCCAGGTCCCCGGTTCGCTAGTGGCTTTGTGCATGGTGGTAGCTCTCCCGTGACACACACCACCCCTTGCCCTGCCTGGAGTAAGAGCGTCAGACGCAGATTGTGAAGACGGAATGACTCAGGGTTGGCATGGAGTGTGAGATGAGTAAGATCTTCAAACTCAAAACAGGTTCAAATTTGGACTCTGTCATTTACTGTGTAAACTTGGACAAGTTCCTTAACCTCTCTGGTCCTTAGCTTTCTCATCTATAAAATCAAGGCTCCTTACTACCTCGTGGGTTGGCGTGTCAATCGAACAAAGTGTGTGTGTGTGTGTGTGTGTGTGTGTGTGTGTGTGTGAAATGCCCCGTAGTGTGCCTGGTACTGATTAGCTGATATTAATCCTTCTCTCCCCGAAGCCGCCCATGCCCTGAGGCAGGTGACCCAGATGGCAGCACCTCAGTGACCCTGGCTCTGTCTGAGCAGGAGTCTCTGTTTGTAAGCTCTGGAACTGAGCGGCCAAAAATGCTGGAATCACTGCAGTAGGGGGAGTGGCCCAGCCTTGTCCCTGCCCCATCCCTGGTCTGTTTGCAACCTAAAGATGGATCTCTCCACCTCTTATCAGTGTTTCCAGGGTTGATTGCTCAAGCTCACATTCCTCCAGAAAATGGCCCAGGGAGCCTCCTCCAGCTTGTGACATCTTCCAGATGGAGCACGTGTTCCTGGCACCCAGCCCACCCTGGTGCTTACCCTGACCTGCCTCATTCCAGAAGTTCCTTCTCTCCAGAGGCTCTACTCTGTGCCCGATCTGTAGAAAGTGCATGCACCTGATCTGTCAAAAACAAGACGACTTACAATTCAAAATCCCTGAGTTGCTTTATGACCTGGGACATCTTGGAAAGGTGTCAAAGGAACAATTTGCGTCAATTTCTTTCTTTCCTTCCTCCACCCTCCTCTACCTCACTTCTAAGCCCTCCTGCCCCACCGAACTTGTCCAGTTTGCTCACCCTGGGAGAGAAGTGTGCTAGAGGCTGGGGCTATGAGCAAAAAGTGCCCTCCCTGTCCTTAAAAAGCAAGAGGGACAAATAAGCAGCCGACTGAACCACAGCTGTGGCAGTGCGGTGATGGAGGGGTGCCTAGCCCGGTACCGATGGGGCACAGAGCAGGGAGATGGGAGTCAGTGAAAAAAACCTGGGGGAAGCAGATGCCCCCGTCAAGACCTTCAAGGGGCAGAGAGGTGTTCTGGGCAAACTGGACAACACATAAAAGGACCAGGAGAGCATGGCTGATTTGAGAAGTGCAGGTGGTTGCGGAGGCTGGAGTGTGGGGTGAACAGGATGTTAGATCACGGAGGACCCTATAGATCCTATTGAGGAGTCAGAGCTTTATTTCTCTGAGCAAAATAGGGACCACAGAAAGGCTTTAAGCAGGGGAGTGACAAGGTCAGATTAGCAATTTAGAAAGAGTCCTTCATACCCTATGACAATAGTCTCAGGCCCATCAATTTGCCTGATGCCACTGAGTACACATTTCCCCCCCTGAGTCGGAGACGCTCACGACCCAATCATGATATAAAACAGGGTGGGCAACTGGTTGGGAAGGAGGAAGAGGGACTAGGCATCAGAGTAGAAAGTGCCAGAGGGAAATACTGCGGTTGTGCCCGGGTCTGCTTCTGGCTGATACGGAACCTGTCTCTGTCAGAAATGCTGATGAGCAGGGCTTTAAGAATTTGGGGCATAACTGGGTCCTCGCTGCTTCATCCATCTGTGTTTTTATCATTCCTACTTTACAGATAAGGAAGCCACAGCCTAGAGAGATAGGTAACTTTCCTCGAGCTAATAAGAATCTGAGCAGGAGGGGCGCCTGGGTGGCTCAGTCGGTTGAGCATCTGACTCTTGGTTTCGGCTCAGGTCATGATCTCACAGTTCTGTGAGTTTGGGCCCCACATTGGGCTCTGTGCTGACAGCACGGAGCCTGCTTGGGATTCTCTCCCTCTCTCTCTGCCCCTTCCCTGCCCTCTCTCTCTCTTTCAAAGTAAACAAACATTAAATTTTTTAAAAAAAAAATTCAAGCAGGAACTTCAACTTCCCATTTTGTGTTCTCAACCAACCACTCCCGCCTGCCTGGGGGCGGTGGGTGGGGAAATCCATAATGGGAAGGAAATAACAGATACCAGTGTCGTCCCATTTTCTTCTAGTTTTAATATTGTTCACTTAAAAAGTGATGGTTGTGACCCATAAATTAATTTCATGGCTCACTAATCGGTTACAGCCCACAAGATGATAGTACATAGATACTAAAGTGAGGGCTGGGGCATGGGTGAGGTATTCTTTCCATCCAACATGACTTAATTTGATCCGTTTTAAGTAAAGTGTGCATGTACCAGATTAGTGGCAAAAATTTATGGGGCAAAATGGAATAATTAATTTATTACATGATTGATCAGTTCAGGAGTCATCTGTTGAGCATCTACACGATCTAGCAATGAATAAAAATATAATGCCTCTCTTGAGGTGCATATGATCTAAGGTGGAAAGAAACCCATAAAGAGTCATTTTCAATATAATGCAGTAAATGCTAAGTAAGGGAACGCGTGTAATGAGAGCACAGCGCAGGGGCACCTAACCCGGCTCCCGAGAGTTTCCGGAAGGTGGTGATGTCTCAGAATTTTCAAGAAGTAGGTGTTGGCGGGGAGGAGATTGGGTGGGTGGGAGCAGGTGGAGGTGGAGCGGGACAGAGGACCCAGGAAGGGGAGTTGTGCAGGAGGACGTCCTCCTGTGCTCAGGAAATTACTGCCACCAGTGTCTGATGGGAGGAGGGGGTGTTGGGAGATGAGCGAGGAGAGCGGGTCGAGGACTAGACTCTGGATTTTTCCTCTGGGTGATAGGGATTTATCGAAAGTTGAAAAAGCTCTTAGTTTTTCTTGGAAAACTACCAAGTGATCTCTGCACCCTCC